CCTTTTTGGTTCGAACAATACAAGATGGTTATGCAGAAGACTATGGAGTTGTAGCTATCAACGTAATTGACATGAATGACCACGCACCTACATTTATTAATACCTCGCCATATGCGAGTGGTATTCGAGAAGATAGTCCACTGCAAACCACAGTCATTCATGTTTCTGCTACTGATGAAGATGCCGGTGAAGACAGTATAATTACATATTCCATATCCTCTGTACTAGATGACAATGGTCCCATAGCAAACACGTATTTCTCAATCAATTCTGACACTGGTGTGGTAACAGTTAAAGAGGAACTAGATAGTGAGCTTTACCGAGAGATTACATTTGTAGTGATAGCAACTGATTCTGGTTCGCCTGCTGAAACAGCTTCAACGACAGTGACAATAACTATTGTTGATGTTAACGACAATCCACCAGTATTCAATCCACATTTTTACAGTGGCGAACTATCTTACTTAAATTTACTTGGTGAACCGGTCATACAAGTTCAAGCAACGGATGCAGATCTAGACACTGTTGTGCAATACAGCATTCATGATTCGTCTAGTACCTTCAGTGTCAACCCAGGTACAGGTGACGTGAGTCTGTCCACTGGAGTTAGACCTGCAGTATACACTAAGTATGCATTCACAGTTACAGGAACTGATGATGGGAACCCACCATTAATTTCAGAGGTTATCAACGCTAGAATAGACACTTTCAACCCTTACCTGAACCTAGTTGCCATACATTTGACAGGACGAACTAAGCAAGATATTTTGGATGATGAAGAGAATTTTCTGGAACCACTGACAACACTTATTCGAGCAGACTATCCAACTGGTAGATGTGGAATATCCCATGTGTTAACTGTTGGTGATGTAGTGACAGTATCGGCTAAGCGACGTTTACTCCAGTCATCGAAGTAATATATAGATTCATTTATTTAAGATTCAATGTATTTACATGAATGTCGCCTAAATTTGAAATCATTGACTCAATGGTACAATTCGATACTTTTTTATTGTGACAACCTGTAATATCTTTAGAATACTAGAACCACTTCATTTTTTTTCGAAAATACCAAATGATCTTTCTAATTATTTAGATATTTCGGATAGTTTTAGTGGAATGAAACTTATTATACAATATTTTGTTTACTTTAGTATTATAGTTTATGTGTATGGAGTAGCTGATAACACTGCAGATGTCGAATCTGGACTATCAAACACTAAGAACTTTATATCTCAACAATATTTGTTTGCCGTGTTTTCCGGTAATGACGAAGGCACTCCGTCATCCGCATTGTCAGGTCAGTTACTTATCTGTAATTAATTTTGTAATATGCATTTAAGCGATTATATTATGCGAGATTGTCATACATAATGATGGTGATTTGTTCCTTGCCAAAGCCTTCATTTGAAGTACTCGTCAAGGTCAATGTGATTTCCGCTATCATCAAATTATTTTGCACCATTTGTTGACACTGATCACTCACTACATAGAATGACTCCATTCTCTCAATATCGCTGAAACTTTCAGGCCAGCTACTTTTAGGTTTGAAGTAGGAAATTATGGCATAGCTTTCTCTCATTAATGCAAGAAACCACCAGCTGCAACGAGGTCGCTGATAGGTTGCTCACGCTGCCAATCCCTTCATTCACCAGTGAATAAATCTAGATATATAGTATGTATGTATGTGTATATATGTCAGAAAATAAATGTTTATTTTTGCTGTTCCAGGGTTGTCGGATTACCCCATGAATTTCATCGAAAATGTAACGGAGCCAATAGATGATTGGTGGTTCTCAGCAGCCGGTATTGCGACAATTGCGATATGCTCGTTACTTGGTTTAGCTGCATTGATAGGTTTGAGTGCACTTATTTACTCATGTTGCTGTGGATCGCTAGTCGGGTGAGTACGTGTCATGTTTTATTCATTATCCCCATTAGTAATTCATTCGCATCGATACTGCAATGATTCCCATTACATCAACCATTACATGTCGGCTATCTTAATTTAGTTGTAGAACTGCACTCTGTGCGGGTTTGGGGGACGGACGGGGATGTTGTGCTGCCTGTTGGCGACGATTTATCCTCGCTATAAAAAGCTGTTGTAGGAACTGTTGTGAAAGCAAACCAAGACCGCCTCCTCCAGAGCCGGAAGCGTCACCAAAACGTAACTGGGGTGCTAACGGTTCGTATGTCATACTCGTTCTAGAAATATCAATGGTTATGATGAACTTTCTTTTACATTTATGATACCTTTGTTGTTCATTTTTAATCATTCAGTTTTTCCATGTCGTAATGATGTGTTATAATCGATATATATGACACTTTACAGTTTACAAAGGATACCATCGCGAAGAAATACCAATAAAGAAGAAAGGTCTTGCGGAGGAATCTGTGCTTTCCCTTCCATCGGTAAGCACCTTGAATTACTGTGTTGCGGTCAGTATACAAATATAAATTAAATTAGTTCGCGGCACATTTACTTATACTAATTAAGCAATTTGTTCATGTTTAGCCGAAGTCTGGCGATGCTGCCGTAAAATTCAAAGGCTTGGCTGGCAAGGCTAGAGGGGGTGCTGTTGACGGTAAGTGGAGATATAAAAAAAAACTACCACAACTTCATTTCATTTATTAAAAACATTCAACACACGTATATACCAGTATACATATTGACTGATGCGAACAAGAACAACAAACGGAAACATCAAAGCTAATTTGAAATTGCGCATAACTAATAATTGTAGCTACCCAACCCGGTTAAATAGTAACTGTTAATTATTTGAGAAATATTCTTTTGTGTTAAAGTTGATCGATGAGTTTTTGTAACACATACACGTGGGAAACACGTTTATGTCTTACTCAATTGACAAAATTGACAAAAATATTAACATCAACACAGGGCATCATGTCTAGAGGAAATAGTTCGTGAGACAACCACTTGTTCACAGTTTATTGTGTTACCGCAACACCCAACGCAAAGAAATTATACTGCGGGTAGTACTCCATTTGAATACATATATGACACGTTGTTCCATTTACAATAGCAAACATAGCTATGTCGTGGGTCGATTGGTATGCTCAGCAGATTATCGGTTGTACTTATGTGGTATGCATATAATTAGATTTATTATTTTTACAATGATACGTGATATACGAATACGATTCCCGGGTTCGACTAACGTATATGAATTACTAAATTTCAGATCTAATCGTTTAGGTTTGATCCTCGTTTTGTCTTTTATTTACAGGTGGGACATTACCTAGTGTCGAGTAAAAGGAAGAACCATGTAACAAATGTTTAACAATCAGCGTGTTGACTAATATTTCGTATTTTTATTATTTGTGTTTATTTTCTTATTATATACAACTATTCAACGACATGGGGGTCGATATTGTAAATCAAAACCAACATTCTCGAAGCGTTGTAAGGTGTTTCCATCGAATCTCGACAAAACGAGTGTTGCTATGGTTACTTAGGCTCTTGGCATTATGTATCGCGTAAAATAAACAAGAATTCGTGCTGTATCCCTTTATTTAGAAGTTCCCCGTCGATCAATAATAGATCACTTTATTATATTGTAAAGCACTCATTTGAAAGGAAATGAAATATATGAAATACCAAGATAAGTAGATCATCTCAAAGAAAGAATCACAGTGCTGAATAGTGTGGTACAATCTGTACGTGCGTTAGGTAGAAACAATAAAAGGAGATTATTGCTTGGTCAATGTGAAGTGTAGCACATATAATCGTTGCCATAGGTACGCGTTACTGTAAAGAAGATTTTCAAAGTCACACGTGGGAATGGCTGGTTCAATATATTCAATTCATCCAGAGTCTCAGTATAACAATGTCGTATTAATTACAAAACTCATTTAACTTAATTTGAAAGCACATATTAATTAATAGTGTTTTTATTTAACCCGCTGTAGTTTGTTAAGTGTGAATACCGGATTGAATAAGAGTTGACACGTACCAGTCAGTTTTAACTACTTGCCCGTAAAGACCATGAATACATTTTGGCATCTACCCAAACGAAACAATACTCTCGGAGTCTATTCCTCTGGACATGAATATCTCTGTCGTCACGAACTGTGTTTGTTCGATGATGCCCATCATAGTATAAAGAAGCTTCACAAAAGTAACCTATAAAGGAAATCCATTAATCGTCCTTTTCACACTGGCACAAAACATGTTGATCGATTCATCACAGATTTACATGGATTCAACAGCGTCATGAAGTCCACGTAACTGAAAAAGTAATACAACCATGTTTAAACTGTCTTGCCACCCCCGCTCAAACTTTGTACGAATCAGTTACATATTAAATGTATATGCGCATCATGTTTATCCAACTTTGTTACGTCATATGTTCCGTGTGGAATCTCTCGTTACAGATGATATCGCGAAAATAAAAGAGCAGCACGAAGCAGACAAGAGACAGTTTAATAAAGTCCAGGGAGTGAACAAAGCAAGGGCTGAACAAGATTTACAAGACAAACTTGCCGAGCGTAGAAATCGTCGTTTCGGTAATAACGGCGATGGGGGTGATTGAACTAATCTGTTTATTTGTTTTTTAACCTAGAAACATGCCATAATTTGTGCTTCCACTTATAACAAACTACTAGGATTTATTGAATGATATATTATAATTGTCATATTAATTTTAGTGTGAATATTCTTATATACTCTTCAAAACATAGACCTTGAAAACAGGGACATACAACTCCTGTCCGAGACAAAAGACGTGGGTTTAATCTACAGTACAGTTAATTACATTAATGCATACGACTGGCATATTAGATTTAACACCTGAAACAGTTTCAGTTGCTACTTGTTCACGTGTTTGTAAATGTTTGATGATAAGTATTATATATTCACATTTGTCACTGTATAGTGTGTATACTAGGCTATATCGGTTCTAAATATGATGAAATATCCGCTTGTTGTAATGATACAAAGTTTGACAGGTCATTGTTTACTTTTAGGCAGTTTTGTTATTTTCACTCGTAACAACAGAATAAAATATATACATTATATTATAACCTGACCTGGCAGACATGTTTGACAGGAGAGAGTATAACATTGGTGTTGACATAGCTTTGTTGTCAGTCCCTCTAGGGTATTAATTGGATATCCCAATGAATACTCACTCACTCCGAAACTATTAATTAAATGTACAAGTTGTAATTTGTTAATGTACAATGCATGAGTTTGTGCAAGTAATTTGATATTAAAATCGCAGTAACATAGAGCAGTCGCCTGTTTATTTATAGTACGAAGAACTGATATGTGTCTGAGGCATTATATCAGCTTATAGTGGTTTAATTACATGCATTTTTTGAACCACCGACATGGTTGAGTATTGCGCTACGATCTCAGCTTATTGAGTTATTGTTCATCTCATTTTAAAGATGTTAGAAAGGGGACAATCGGCGATACAAACGGCGGCACTTAGAGTATTTCTCTTCAAACTTTCCCGTATCATTATTGGCCATAATTCTACAGTGATTGTCTACCTTTGATCTGAATGACGTCGAGGTGTTTTCTGGTCACCTGAAATTACAGCAAATATATAAGGGCCGTTTCGAGTGTCGGGGATTAGATGTTATTTTTATTTGCTCAGTGTACTTATTTGGGGTTTGTAGTTGAATCATGTGTTGAGATGTGTCTTTTCTGAGCATTTAAAACACGTTCCAGTTCTGCATATTACATAACTTCAAGTAGTTGTGTGATTTGCTGACTGGTAGTTTGGGTGAATGATTTATTTAATTTCTAGTTCCATACAAACCTTACCAATCTAATTTGAAATGCCACCGATTAAGGTATTTTTTCAGATACACGAAGTATAACTTGTGAACATGTTCTGTTATCTACTTTGATATAAGTTCGAATATTCAGTCGCGGCACACGTCCAGTGGCACAAGATTCTGCATCACTTGGCGTTAACCAGCCTCCTATTCGGTATTATTTCTCTGCTAGACTTGGTCCGGTTGGGTAATTAATTAATTTTGTTATACATTAAACATTCGAATATTTGTTTTCGAGAATTAGGAGATTAAGAGTACAGACAATTAATGTATGTACAGTATAACATAACAAATAACACCGATTAGATATAATTTATTTTTTCTGAAGATAAAGTTCGGTAGCATTTGTTTGTTTTAGGTGAAACTGACTAATTGCCCCAAAACAGTAGTTCTATCGTGGACTCGTCGAGCATGTGATTCAATTCTCCTACATTTCTGTGTGAGTACTACCATAGGAATTGAGGCTTATTACGGAAGTGACGCAGGTCACAGGATTAAGTATATAAACAGAATGTTGCTATGTGAGTAAACGCCCCGGACGCCATGATACGTCCATTAAAGATGGGGTAAAACCTCCTGAGTGTGTGGATACTTGTGGGATGGGAATGAATTGAAATCGCCGAAATGTCCATGTGCGAGGGTTTATCGCACTTAAATTATGCCGCCCGAATAATTTATTAAGAAGCCTTTTGGAAAAATTATCGTACCTCTGAGTAACTTAAAAGTTTCACGTTGAGCAACTTATTGGTAATTGATGAAAACAAAGATAATAATGGGCTTGGGCTGTTTGATAATTTGTAATTTGACATTATTCCCTGCAAATCTATTTTCAAATATAGTGTGTTTAAACTTGATATAGTTCTACGTGAAGTGTCAGATGTCATGTCCGTTTTTAACATCACATGTAAGACTTGAAAACAGTGCATAAACCAAAAGCCATGCAACTGTAGAGTTACAATAAAAAGATGTGGGTCACTTCTATACCCCCACTCCCCCTCCAACACACACATACAGACACCATCACCACACACAGGCAATATAAATCACAAAAGTTTGCATGAATGAAACATACGTTACTCTGACATGATTTTGCGTATTTTACTCTTTCAAAAATAATATTTTCAGCAAAATTAACTGTCGTCATTGACTACGTTTCTAATAAACTGTTTAAAAAGTACTGTCGATATATGGACAAAGAATGCTTTAACCATTGAAATCCTAGGTCGGCATTTTATATAACATACTAAGCAAACAAAAGCGTACTAGAATATGAGTACATTGAAACAATATACTATAAATGACACACATTTCAAGCAGTACATATACATACATAAATAACTTGTTTGTGATTTTATTTACAGTTCTCTTTGAAATCGTGAGATTAAAGCTATTTAAATATTAAGTTGAAAGGTCAAAGTGCAGATAAAAAATTTGAGTGATGTAAATATATTCCACCTAGCAAGGTGACTTCTGGTCGCTAATAATTAATGTTATATCATGGTTATTTATCAATCCATCTTCTTTCCCCGGTGGTCTTGTTGTACTCATACGTTTTACCTGTGGCTAAAATAACAACAAGGAAGACAATAACAATAATGATGTATGGAATTAACTCATGGCTGTGCACCTGTGCCGGGGATTGGGATGTTCTGGCGTCAAAGTACCGAGTAAGCGAGTGCGTTTATTTTTGAAGCAACGCTAAAGAAACATATACATAAGATAGAACTGAACTAAACACTAAAATTGTGTCGCTTTTTGTAGAGGTGAATGTTGTGGTCTTGAAACATGCCAAGAGTGCGGTGCTTTAGAAGATGCGCATGCGCAGGTGATATATTTCGAAGAAATAAGAACAGCATCATTGTGTTTGAAAAATGCTTCTGTGTTTAATATTGCGATACGCGTATTGGCTACCCGTTTATAGAACATCATTAAATTTAAAATAAGTGTATGATAAGTGTTGCCAGCGTGTCGTAAAGAAGAAAGCTTACTATTATTTACCAGGATCAACCGCTTTTCCATCATATCGACCTGATCCACCACCACCAACACCACCACCACCGCCACCAGCACTAGGTGCCCCGGTACCTCCGCCGCCATAACGTCCGGTACCTCCTGGCGGACCAGCTCCACCGCCCCCTCCGTATCTACCAGAGCTGGCTGGCGCTGCTGTACCGCCACTTGGAGCCTGTGGAGCAGCAGTGCCAGTTCTCTGCGCTATGCCCTTAGCAGTGGGATCTCCAGGAATTCACAGCGGCCTGTTCCGCAGCTTGACGAATTTGTTTGGTCCAACACTCAAGCCAGGATACCCAAGAACGCCGATGTTTGGATTAGCATTGGGATTTCCTCCTCCAACGGCAGCTGCTGGACTCGGTTTGGTCGCACCACCTCCCCCTGGCTTGGTACCACCTGCCCCCGGTTTCGGGCCATCCGAACCTGGTTTTGTGCCACCTCCACTTGGTCTTGTACCTCCTTGACCGGTTTTGCTCTGGAAATGACAAAATAAATTTAATAAGTTGGCTACCATTAAATGTCGTGTCAATATGGCTCAAACTTCATTTCTCACATTTCAGCATATCATGTAAGATGTGTGCGTATAGTTATCGTATTAATAATTAACAAATGC